GCCTCGTGGACCGGGCGTGGCCGCGGCTCTGGGGGGGGGCCTCAGCCTCGGGCCGCGAGGCCGTCCCGCGTGCTGGCGGCAGAGAGCCCCGGAGCCGGCGGTGGAACGGGGCCGGAGGGAAGCGGCGCGGCGCGAGAGCCAGGCCCTCCGTGGGAAGGGACGAAGCGGCGTCCCGGGGGCCCATGCGCGGGCTGGCCGGGCCCCCAGAGCGGTCCCTCCAGGCCTGCGCTGTGAGGAGGTGGGCCGTCGGGCAGGGGCTGGTTTGCAGGCTGTGCTGGGCGCTCCCTCGGGACCCCCCTCCCACTTCACTGTCTGGGGCTGTCAGCGTCCCCTGGAGAAGGGAGGAGACCCCGCAGGTCGCGGCAGCTCCCGGCCCCCGCCGCCCTGGCGCAGGCACACGCAGCCAGGGACCATGTGGGGACCTCACATAGGCGGCCGCGGCCCCGGTGAGGGCACAGGGTTCCCGGCGTGCAGCCCAGGTCCGGCCTGGGGCCGAGGGGATGCTGAGTGGCACCTGGGAGCCTCCCCCCGGCCCTGGGCCTCAGCCCCCAGCCCCCAGCCAACCCCTGAGGGTCCAATCCCGACAGCCGCGCGAAGGTGGGGGACCCAGCAGCAGCCAGATGGCCCAGCCTCCAGGATGCGGGCCCAGGCACCCGGCGGCTGTGGGGTGACAGTGTGGGGGCCCCCGGAGGGGCCGCAGGGTAAATTCTGGCTGGATCTGGGCTGGGATGCGACAGCTGCAAGCAGGGTGAGCGCCCGGGCCGGGGGTGTGCAGAGGTTACCGCGTTGTGTGGGATCCGGCAGAGAGGACTTGGGCGGTCGGGTGCTCCGGGAGAATGCCACGTCCAAGGGCCCAGCCATGTCTGAGATGCCCAACAGAGGGGCAGCCCCTTCCGGGCAGGAGGACAGGTGCCCGGAGCGCCCACCCTGACCCACCCTGAGCTCCCCTGAGGTCCTGGAGGCGCTCAGCCGCAGTGCGGGCTAGAGGAGGTCTACCTGGATGGAGGCAACCAAAGCTCAGTCGGAAGAAGCAACAAGGGCACCGGGTTCTACGTTGTCTGTGCCCCGTAACACATGGCACACGACACACTGCCAGCAACAGCCCACCTGAATACACCGCCCACTGATGCCCTCAGCTGTGAGGGCTGGAGGCTCCCGGGGACGCTCCCGCAGGCTGGTGCGGGGCACTGTGCCTCTGGGCCGCAGGGCAGGGCGTGCTTTCCGAGGAGAATGCTGGCCGCCCCACCGGGCCGGGCCGCCAGCCCCCGGCGCTCCCTCCCACCACCCCCACCGCAGGAGTAGACGCTGCCGGGTGAGCAGGAATGACACAGACATGGTTCTGTACAAAACCTGAAATATTTTTACTCTTTTAAAACTTTGATCTAAGCTGTCTTAGATCTCATGGACTCGATACAAGAGTAATATGAATTGGGAAATAAAACACTTTAATAGCCACGGTAAACTTTGTTAGAAATGTACATGTTGCCAAATAATAATAATAATAAACTTTAAAAAATAAAAGAGAGAGAGAGAGAACAGCTTGATGGCCGGGTTAGAGTATATAAATGTTCAACGAGGACGGGAAAGGAAGCCTCGGGGACGCCGGGACGGCACAGCGGGCGCGGCCGGCGCCCAGCGAGCTTGCCCGCCAGCCTTGGGGCCGGGCCTCGCGGACTCGGCGCCCAGGGACGGGCGTATAAACCAAGCTCATAAGAAATGTACAAATATAAAAAGCTACAAACATTAATAAATTACAGCATCACAAAACACAGAAACACTTCACAAGGTGCTAAGTAAAATAACTGCATCCCCACCCCCTTCGCCAACGAGAAGGAAACAAAGAGCTGGCGTCCGCGTGGAGGCCTCTCCCATCTCGCACGGCTCGCTGCCGCCCAGACAGACAGAAGACTCCAGGGACACGTGTTTTTCAGGCAATACCTTAGTTCCTAAAAGAAGAAAGTAACACCAACGGGAACAGTAAACAGAAAGAAGGAGGCAAACCCAAGTGTTCGTCATACTCGGCAAAAAACTCGTATAAATGTTAATGACAGACTCTCTAGAAAGAAATCCCTAAAGATACTTTTACTCTTATAAAAAAGAAGTTATTTAAAAAGCTATTTACACGCTACATTCTATGAAAAATATGCTTCAGGAGATACATCTAAAATTAAAATACAGGATTGCCTGAGAAACAACTCCAGCCCCTCCGTGTCGACGGGCGGACGTTCGGTCTGGGGTCCACCCGGGGACTCGACACAAAACACGGACAGATGACAAGACAGACGTGCCGGGCCCCACGTCCTCGGGCCGCCCCGTCGCCATCCACCCCGCCAGGCGGGGTGCCTCAGCTGAGAAGTGCTTCTCGGAGTGTAGCCCGTGGGGCAGCGTTGGGCCCACCCTCATGGCTTAGCCCGGGCCACCAGGCCCCACGTCACGGCTGGGCCCGACCCTTCAGGGGAGACCCCATGATGGCGCCCCCACCCACTAACACATGGACCCTGCTGCCGGCCCCAGCGTCCCGAGAAAGACCCTGGCCATTCAGGGCACAACACCCACCATCCGGCCCGCCACCCGCCGGCCGGGGAGCACAGAGGCCCCTCTCCTGGCCGGGCCGCACACTCTCTGGACTGTCTGAGAGTCACTTGGGAAGAGTAGGGGGGCACATAATACCCCATTTTCTCCTCCTCTTCCTCTCTAGTGTTCTTTGCCTTTTTTAAGCCTCTGGAGGCTACCAGCCTGTGGCCAGCTCAGACTCTGGGCCTGGTGAGCATTGGCTCACTCCTTCCTCGAAGGACTCGTGCTCCTGCAGAGCTGCAGAAGCCCTGTGATCACACCCACACTCAGGGGTGCCCGGAGGCTCTCCTGAAACTGGAATGGTCCTCAAACAGGCAGGGCCAAGTTTCGGGAACTGGTCACTCTAAGCAACTTGAGAAAGGACGTCTGTCCACATTGGTGAGCTCCGCCTGCTGAAGCAACAGATGCTCGTATGGGGGGAGTGGTGGCCGGGAGGGGGCCAGGCCCTCCCCCGGGTGAGGCAGCGTGGCCACCCTCCTGGGGGCTGATGTTCTAGCGGGGCTCCGGGGGTCCTGAGCGGAGCAGAAGGATCCTGGCTTTCCAAACTTTAAAGGAGCAGTTTTCCGTTCCGATGAATTTTCAAAATTTTTCCAAGCCTCTGCTTGGCGGTGGCCATGCCCTTCTTTGTACGTTTTCCTGGAGGCAGACGAGAAGACAGGAAAATGCCAGGTGAGCGAGAGGCCAGAGGAGCCCCTCCTGGAGTCCCCACCCTCTCCAGAAGACGGGCCTGCGGGGCCTGAGCCTGCAAAACCACCAGCGGCCAACGAAGTGCCCTGCTTAGAGGCTGCAGCGACCAGGACGGGGGACAGCATTACTCCAGAGTGAGGCCCGTCCCACCTCCTGGCAGGAGCCACACTCCTTGTGTCCAAGGCCGAGCACACTGGGGGCCTGGGGGTGAGAGTGGGGGCATCCAAGGGACCTAGTCGGCAGTCCCACCGCCAAATCGCCCGGGGGAGCCTGGAACCCCTCAGCAAACTGCTGACCACACCCCGACTTCAAGCCAGGCCCCAAAGCCGAGGCCACCAGACCAGCCTCAGCACTGTGAGTGACCGCAGCTTTCCATCTTGGAAGGGACTGTTTCTTGCACATGCTGGCCACGTGTGTGGCTACAGACACGGGGCCACGGGGGACGGGGCAGGCCTGTGGGCACCTACGGCACGCCCCAGAGCAGGGCCGCTCAGGGCACGCGCACACGGTACCTTTGGCAGCGGTGTTGTTGGGGGATGATGCAGAGGGCCGCCTCTGCGAGAGGAAGACCCCAGGGGCCATGGGCTGGGAGGCACGGCCAGCCTGGGCCCCTGCAAAGGCTCCGGCCGCGGTGTACTCGTGGTCTGCCAGGCTGCTGCTGTGTGCCTCGGGCGGGGGCTCGGGTGAGCTGCCCTCCTGTGAGGCCTGGCTGCTGGCCGTGCTGGTGGAGGCCGGGGTGGTGGAGGCCGGGGTGGTGGAGGCCGGGGTGGTGGAGGCCGAGGTGGTGCTGGTGGAGGCCAAGGGGGAGGGAGTGTTGGGAGCCAGCTTCCTTTTGGTGTTCTTCTTCTTCCTGCTCTTCTGCTCCTCCTTTGAACAAAGCGCACGGGCTGGCTTCAGCCGCTGAGGAACTGGACCCAGCAGCAGCCAAGCCCCACCCCCATTCACCACGAGCCCCAGAGCAGCGCTGGGGCCCGTGTGGGGACCAGCGTGCCCCCTGCGTGAGGACAGGTGGCACTCAGCTGCAGGGGACATGCCCCCCCCCGGCTCTGAGCTGCCAGGGAACGTGCTGCTGCTCCCACCTCCCCAGCCCGCCACTCCCGGGGTCAGCAACACTCGGTGTCCCCAGGCCTGTGACAGCTCCCAGCCTGGGCGGGCTGGGCCCCTCCTCACCTGCTGGGACAGCTTGGCTGCGGCAGCTGCCAGCCCAGTCTCGATGGAGGCCACTCTGGTGCCCTCACGCACAGGCCTGTCCTGCCTTGGAACCGATGGGCCGACCCTCGCTGCAGGAGAGAACACCCGCCTGCTTGGAGCGGCTGCCCAGCCCCTGAACCCCCCTCCCCAGCCCCCTCGGCCCTGTCCCAGTCTGTGCCCGAGTCTCCGGGACCCTTCACAACTCAGGGAGGGTCAGCATGAGCCCCGACGTGAAGGGCCCCCATGCCAACAAGACGGGAGAGAGCAGGAAGGGGGCACACAGACGGTGGACGAGACCCCCACCCATGGGCTGCCGTGACCCAGCCAGGGGCAGAGATGGCCTTCCTAGGGCTGCTCATTCAGGACAAACCAGGTGAGGGACCGGCCCCACAGGGAGCCCCCCATTGTCCACCCCACTCGCAGGAGCTGGGGTGCCTTTGGGGAAAGTGCTCCCGGAGGCAACCAGCCCCACCAGCCCCCCTCACAGAGCCAGGGCCGCAGCCTGCAAGCCCGAGGGACGGGCGGGGGACACACTGCCCAGCTCTACCTGTGGGGCTGTAGGGAGCGTCGTCAGAGCCCTTCCTCCGCTTGGACCGGGACTTGAAGACGGGACTGTCCTCGTCAGACTCCAGGGAGGGGTAAACTAGGGGGGCAGGGGCAGAAAGGCCTGAGCCAGTGGCACCATGGGGGACGGGGGCTTCAGGCAGCCAGCCGACCTTGTGAGCCACTGTCCCTCGGGCACCGCTGCCACACACTCGGGCACGGGTGGCCCCAGAACCATCCGGCCGAGGGCCCCCCGAGACCCAGGGAGAGCAGGGGCTGGCCAGACAAGAGGCCCCAGCAACCCCCACGGGCACTGCCCCAGCCTGGCTGCAGCGTCCCCTGTGCTTCCCAGAACGCCCCCTTCTCTGCTGCTGGGACGGAGGCTGCCATCCCAGCGAGCCTCCGAGGAGGGAGCCCCACTAAGCTGCGTCCTTCCATCGGGGCCCGCCCTGCCCCCACAGGAGTCCAGAAAAGGCGCTCACTGCTGTCAATCTGTGTCCAGCAGCCGGGGCCGGGCCAGCCCCCCTTGGGAGGGCTCTCCGGGGGCAGGAGTGTGAGCTCGGGGCATCCTACACATCCCTGCGAGGCAGGCCGAGCTGTGCAGGCAGGTGCGCACTCCTGGCCGCCCCTCCCCCGGGCAGCCTGGAGCGCCCCCTGAGGGACAGCCTGGAGGGCTGTGGTGGGGGTGAGGGGTCATGCCCTCAGGGTCCCTGCTCTGTCCCCCTCAGATGTGGGCCACCGGGGGCCTCGGTTGTTATTCACACAGAGACACACAGGGTGGATGGGTCTCAACGTGTCTGCACAGCCGCGTGGGGGATGGCAAGACGGGCGTGGACCCTCAACCCAGCACGCCCCCTCCTAGGTCCTTGCCCGGGGGCACCACGGCCACACAAAACCCCTGCACCAGTGAGCACGGCAGCAGCGTCCACAGGGCCAAGAGGAGGAAGCCACCAGGCGACTGCAAGCAGCCGACGGTGAGCACGTGTGGCCGCCCGCGCTGACCGGCTGCGCCGTGATGAGCCCGTGAAGGACCGCCTGCACCCAGGACACGATGCACGCCGACGGGGGGACTCGGGGGCCAGGGAGGGTTCCCTTCTGGGTGGGGACAATGGCGCACCCTCCACTGAGTTACGTGCTTCTGAAGGCGACCTTCCCATCTCCTAAAGAAGGGCCAGGGCCTCTGCACGAGGCTGAGCCCCAGCAGCACCGCCGAGAGGCCCCTCCCAGGGGGGCAGGCCGGAGCCCGCCCGCACCCCCCACAGGGCTCACCGTAGTCCGAGTCCTTGAAGCAGGCGTCCAGGTGGTCCTGCTCCTCCTCGTAATCGTCCAGGTCCACGCTGTTCTTGGCCGCCCTCTTCAGCAGCCGCTTGCCCGCACTCTTGCCGCCACCCCCGTTCTTCCGGGCACCGTGGGCCGCCAGTGAGCTGCCCTTGGCCTGGCTGGCGCCCCACGTGGTCTGCAGGCAGGAGTCAGAGGCCTGCAGGTTGGCCATGGACAGCATTCCCTGAATGGCTTCCTGCGTGCTGGGGGAGGCCGGGGGCTGGCTGGAGGCACAGAGAGATAGGCACTCAGCCCACGGCCCACAGCCCACAGCTCTCGGCCCACAGCCCACAGCACTCAGCCCATAGCCCACGGCCCACGGCCCTCAGCCCACAGCCCACAATCCACGACCCTCAGCCCTCAGCCCACAGGCCACGACCCATAGCCCATGGCCCAGCCCACACTCCACAGTCCACGACCGTCAGCACTCAGCCCACAGCCCACAATCCACGACCCTCAGCACTCAGCCCACACAGCCCATGGCCTACGACCCTCAGCACTTAGCCCACGGC